GAAGAACATCCTTATGTGGATTTGTAAATCTCAGCTTGTCTCTCCTTCTCACAGTACTAGCATCGGTAAGATCGAGCGTGCTGACAACTCATTTTTCCACAGAGGGACTCCGATCCTCCCTCTCATCATTGAGAGAAGATACTGAAATACTTCAATCTTGCCCCCACTGGCAGCACACCCATCTCCAACATTTGCCAGACTTCAAAAAAAAAAAAGAAAAAACCAACACCCATCATAATTTTTTTTTTTTGATTATTTTTTTTTTTTTTTTTGTTTAAGCACGAGTTCATTTCACATTTCACTTAGGTATCCTTCAGCGGCTTCCTCGTCCCACCGCCTGGTTACCTTTGGACCTACTGACACAGACCAGTATCTGCCTGGGAGGTACAGCCTCGGCTCCCTCACTCACGGAGGACGGCGTTTACGTCAGCTCCTAACCCGTATCTGGGGCACCTTCGCGCTCAGGTAACAACAACACACGCCGAAGTGGAACAGCTGGGTGGGTGCCAGATCTGAATGGGATAACTAAGGCTTGTTTGGGTTGTCAAGCCAACGGGTGTCTGACAGACTGCAGGGGTGTGATCGCGACCCAAAGACAGCACGCTCGGGGCAGCTCTTTTAGTCACCGGGCTGCCTTCCCGGGCACAAGCGGTGCTCAGTGGAATAAAGCTCCACAACCAAGAAGGGACAAATACAGAACTGGTATGACCCCCTGCACAGGCACAACTTTATCCCATGTTATGCTGCTACCGTCTAATACATTCCTGGCATTTTTGCTGCCGCTGAAGTATAAACTAGCACCTCTGTGCCTATGATTCTTCTAAGGCTGGGAATGAAAAATTAATAACATTTGATCCTACAGACACTCAGCTCTTAAAGAACAACTACTGGAACACATGAAAACCCACTATAATCTTAAGCCCTTTTTATGTCAAGAACCTTTCAGGAAAGACACTGGGAAAAAATTAGCCCAAGTGGGCTAAAATACAACTGTACTGAAAATATTCTTTCCTTGTTTACAGGGAAATGAAACAGCCACGTGGTGTTTCGCAGTCGCAGCAAGCCTGCTCCCAGGCGCTGCTAGATGTAACCAGGCTGAGCGCAGCGGCTTGATGCAGCTCCTGGCTGTTGTCCCTCTGGGATTTCGGATTCACTCTGAGCGAGTCTGAAAGCACACCGGCACAACAGCCAGGAGCTGCGCCAGTGAACCCTCTCCAGCACGGAGAACGCCGCCTTTGCAGACTCTTGTGCCCGGTCTGCCTCCTCAGCCTTATCTGCCTGCTTACACCAGCTGCAGAGTCCCCCCCCTCTTCCTGCCAGATTTGCCCCGTCTTCAAAAAAATCAGAAACTTTTACTGATTCTAGTCTTTCCCATTTCTTATTTTCTTGAGAAAAATTAAGGACAACGGATTTGCGTTCAGAGTGTGCTACTAAGACATCCCTCAAAGCAGTCGAATCCTGAGGAAAAACTTAAAGAAAACCTTGTTAAGTGTGTAATATAACCACCTTAGAAATTATCTATAATCTCTATAACCATTTCTCCAAGATCTATCTGGCTGTCAGCAAAACACCCCAGTTCCCCTTTTATTTTCCGCCTTCTTTATATCATTACGCTGAGTAATTTTTCCCCATTACACTGTTTCACTCCATTCACAACATTCTCCCTGGAAAAGAGACAGTTGTTAGACACCTTAGGAAGGAAAAAAAATGATTATGGTACAATACCCCTGGGAAATGAAAAGTGTAAGCAAGCGGGAGGTAAAATTTTTAGCTCAATTAAAGTGTAGTCTACCCTTTCTGTCTGGGGTATCAATTTCAAGAAGGTTTTTAATGGAGAAATTTTCCACGAATATTGGAATATCCTTCCAAATCCAGGCAACACATACAGTCTGCCTACAAGACCCAGGGTAAAGAGAGGCTTCTGTCTCCCTGTTCAGGGGGCGGGGAGCTGCCCCTCTACAGCAGCACAAAGAGACGGGCACGCACTCTCGGGAAGCGTCAGAGCCAAACCGAAGCTGCAGCACGACTTCTGGAGCACCCCCCACACACACCCCGTTAGTCAACAGGGCAGGAGACGTGGCCACAGAGAGACTTCACCCTGAAAAGGCAGAAACGCTGCCGTGCAACTTAGGCACACTCAGACCTTTTTTGGAAATTGCACAGAGACTGAAGGGGTGTAAAACGTCCGTCACCCATCCCCTCTGCCCAGTCATGATCATACTAATTAATTCTCCTGCTAATCAAGCATTTCTCACTTGGTTTCCACTACGTTTCTCTAAACACAGACTGCCAACTCTCTCCCTTCTCTCCACCGAGTACTTGGTAAGGTCACGAGTACATCCACCGAGACTAAATATTTCTATATATAGAAATAATTGCCTGCGGAATTAAGTGCACTTGCCTGGGTATCTAGTTCACACTAAACTTAATTTAGCTGATTTTCCTCATCTATTATATCCATTATTAGGGACAGTGCACGCTGCCAGCTGCAGCACTGCCTATCAAAGACGGAAACTAATCATCTAATTACGTGGCAAGGATGAGCTTCTCCGTGAGAACATTTACAAGCATCGGATCAGACCATCGAGTCAAGTGTCACAAGGAAGAACCGGTTCCTCCACACAGCCGTGTTACACACTCCTCCTTTTCCGAAGGAGGTAAAGGAAAGGTAGTGCATTCTAGGAATATCAGTTCTCATGAACCGTTTCAAATACAGCCCATGCCCGCGAAGCAAACGCTTGAACAGGCCCCATCTCAAAGCGTGGTAGGTAATATGAGCTCATTATGAGTATGTAAAATAAAATTAATAACCCCTCCCCCCTGAAACTTAAGGGAAACAAAGTTGAGTTTCTGGGCATGCTGTCTCCTAGGCCTCTGCACCCCAAAACAGGATTCAGGGAGAGCAGGAACCGCCAGTAGTGGAAGACCATCAAGTCATGGAGCTCTTAAATCTCAACCCATACAAGCCTGAGGATGCAGGGTGAGCAAGCCAATGTCACTGCACGGCCATTCTCCATCACGCCTATCATTTTTGAAAGGTGGTGGAGAACGAGGGAGGTCTCCTGTGACTGAAGGATATTCTGTCCGTCTTCAAAAAGGGGAATAGCAAACCACGGATCTGCAGGTTGGTTAGCCTCACTCTGCTTCTTGAGAAAACCACGGAGCACATCCTCTCAGAAGCTGCTTCTGAGCACATAAAGGTGAAGAAGGTGACTGGGACTAGTCAGCATGGACTTACTGAGGGTAAACCATGTCCAATCAACCTGGTTGCCCTAAATGATAGTATGACTAGATCTGATTGAGCGACAGCACTGGATGTGTTCTACCATGGCTTTAGCAAGGTTTTTGATACTTTCTCCTATGGCATCCTGGTACATCCAAGTTGGGATATCATAGTCTAGATAGGCAGACTGTTACCTGTGTGAAAAACTAGCTGGATCATCAGACTTAAAGGACAGTAGTAAACAGTATGTATCTACCTGTAGGTCAGTTACAAGTGGAGTTCCTTGTTTAATACCTTTTATTAGTGGCCTGAAAAAGGAAAAAATTTTTATCCACTTCAACCCTCAGGTGGTCCCCAACTGAGAGGAGCGTTCCACACCCTTGAGGGCAGGGCTACTGTTGAGAGGGCCTTAGGCTGGAGAGAGGAATGGGCCAACAGGAGCCTTATGTGGTTCAGAAAGGACAAATGCCAAGCCCTGCTTCTGGGAAGGAAGAGCCTTTAGCTATGATGTCTCATAGCTGTCTCATATGATGGCTGGGGGCTGGCTGCCTGGGAAGCAGCTCTGCCAAAAAGAGGGGCAGCACGGTGAGCACGGGGCAGCAGCACGCCCTGGCAGCAAAGACGGCATCTTAACTCACGCCAACAAGAGCCAAGCCAGCAGATCAGGTGAAGTGGTTATCTCCTTCTAGATACGGTCTCACACAAGCTGGGTAACGCATACCGTTTTGGTCCCCAAGATACAAGAAAAATGCTGACAAACTGGCGCAAGTTCAGAGAAGGGACATCAAGACAGCCAAGGGGGCTGGAGCTCTTGCCCCGTGAGGAGAGACTGAGGAAATGGGGCCTGTTCTGCCTGGAGGTGAGATGGCTTTGGGGCACCGCAAAGCTGCCTGCCAGTACCTGTGGGGAGGGCTGCGGAGAAGACACAGCCAGGCTCTTCACTGACAGGCTTCCAGGACAACGAGTAACGATGGCCGTGATTTGAATCAGGAGAGGTTATGACTTGATACACGGCGGGGGGGATGCCACTGCAAGGGCTATTTAAACACTGGACTCTGCTGCTCAGAGAGGCTGCGGAACCTCTGCTCTTGGGCCCAGCTAGACAATAGCCCGAGGAACCTGGTCTGAATTCACTATCAAGTCTGCTTTGAGCGGGAAGTTGGACTGAAGGTCTCCTGATACCCCTTCCAGCCCTCCAAGTCCTTCCCACTTGCAGCCAGAGACCAAAACTGGAACCCCTAGAAGGCAAGCTGAACAATACATTTTTTCTTCTCCTCACGAGGAATGTCAGTCTCATCGTGTTTAGAAGACCTGGAGAGAAAATATTTTTTTTAAACGGATTCCACCGCAATGACTGTTTTCTGCTTATCGTAGCCCTCCAGGCACATCTCTCAGCATTCAAGTTTTTATCAACTTGATGATAAGATCAACAGTATCGCCTCTACAGCAGGCTTGGTCTGCAACAGAAGATGTGACCCAGGTCAGGATTTATATGCAGATTTAGAAGGAACAGACTTACCCCATATCTACTGTCTACCATGTTTTGCTCTGGCATATTCAAAGTTAGTCAATTTACAGCTGCATAAACAGCAGCCATACCACTGGCCCAGTGGATTTCTTTACGTCCTTAGGAAAAAAGTTTATAGACCCAAAACAGACAGCTATTTTCAGAAGACCTCCGAACAATTGCAGGTAAGTGAATAAATAGAGAAACAAACAAACAAATGGATTGCTGGATAATTTAATAAATAAATAGATAAATAGAGGGAGCACTTACTGATTCCTTGGAAAAGTTCTTCAATGTTAACAGCATTCTTTGCACTGGTTTCAACAACAATTGCACCTATAGACTCTGCATATTCTTTGGCATCCTTCATAGGAACCTCCCTACAAAAGAAAAAAAAAAAGTTCACAAATAAAAAGAAACCAAATTTTTAAAAAGCAGGTTAATTTTGGGGGGGGAAAGACCTCAAAAACAGCCTAATCAGAAAGGCATTAGTATGCTCCTCTTCCCTGCAAAAGTAGTACTATCTTTCTTCTTCCTATGGCATTTAGACCAAGGTCAGCATGGGAGAAGACTCAAGGGAGGGGATTCCCCCCTCTACTCTGCTCTTGTGAGACCCCACCTGGAGTACCCAAACCATTCTATCACAAATAACCCTGTCTTCTCAAATTTCTTCCTTTATTGTTGTTTGAAATAGTAAGGGGAATGCTTACTATTGGGTTGGAAGGGACCTTAAAGACCATCTAGTTCCAACCCCCCTGCCATGGACAGGGACACCTTCCACTAGACCAGGTTGCTCAAAGCCTCATCCAGCCTGGCCTTGAACACTTCCAGGGATGGGGCATCCACAGCTTCTCTGGGCAACCTGTTCCAGTGCTTCACCACCCTCTCCAGGAAGAGCTTCTTCCTGATATCTAATCTAAACCTCCCCACTTTCAATTTAAACCCATTCCCCCTTGTCCTGTCACTACAGGCCCTTGTAGAAAGTCTCCCCCAGCTTCCTTGTAGCCCCTTCAGGTACTGGAAGGAGCTATAAGGTCTCCCCGGAGCCTTCTCTTCTTCAGGCTGAACAAGCCCACCTCTCTCAGCCTGTCCCCATAGCAGAGGGGCTCCAGCGCTCTGAGCACCTTGTGGACCTCCTCTGGACTTGCTACAATCAGTCTACATCCTTCTTATTTAATGAAGACTTTCAACCTGCTGTAATTTAGATGAGAAAGCAAAGTTCAGGAACAAAGGAAAAGGTAAAACAGCAGCAAGTGACAATATTCCAAGGAAGCATCACAAAACCTCTCAGCCTTCTCTGATGACATTTTTACAGGAAGCCTACAAACGTCCACGGCATGTGGGCAACACGCATCAGGCCACCCAGTGCTGCCGGCACCGAGAAGGCAAGTGGAGTTATCATAATCTGGATGTCAACCTTGCTAAGATGCTACCTCATCAAAAAGGAAAAGCACAAATGCTTGAACTCCAAGCAGAGAGGTGAATACACCCAAGAAGGGGCGAAGAGAGAAGGCGTCAAGAACCACCAACAGAGTGCTAAGAAAGTGTTGTTCCAGGACTAAGGGGAAAGTTACGGGAATACCTATTTTGAATGATGTCAAATACTTCATTTTATCCTTTCCAAATAATTCTATTGATTCAGTCTCCCTTGAGATTTTCTTAATAATTACTGAATAAAGAAATACTCTGAACGTACAGAGGGAGGATCCGAGCATGACATTCTGCTGAACTCTCTAACTGAGGATCTGGTAATTTCCAGTGAACACAATTTGTTAAGAATGTGCACCATACTTTTAGGGACATAAACATTTCTTAGCTGCTGTTATGACTACTGACTTCTATAATGCTCAGAAAGTATTTTGGACACAAACAACATTCTAACATTGAAGTCTCAGCTCCTGTCTCTGAAACTACTTTCAACTGGCCTGTCAGAAGGACAGAACACGTATGAGAAGGAAAAGCCTGTTATTTAGAAGCACGCCAAACGCTCAACAGCACTGGAGTTGACAGTACTATAACAAAGTTGAAGATTTATACTAAAGAAGATTGCCTGCCTACCTGCAGAAACTCCTTCAGAGTGGAGAAGGAATTTTACTTCAACAGTGCCAAAACCTGCTGATAGCCTATTAACAACACTGAGAAAAGCAGCATGACCCAAGAGTGTCCCAAATCCATCTTGGCAGCTAAAAACCAAATTTTAGAAGCTGAATGAGGAAGGTAACATGACAAATGATTATGAGAAATAGTGCCAGTCTTTTCCCAAAGGAAGAGAATCAGTTCTTATTGCTTCCATTCGGTCCTCCTTACGTTATCTCCTGCAGTCACAGAGATGGCAGAATCAAATCAACTTGAACTGGGTCAGCTTCTCCTCTTTAGCAACGATTTACGATGGTCTTAAAAAGAGCTGTCTCACTCATACCCAGCAAAACATCTGCCAAAAGTTCTACAAAACTAGAGAGAGATGCCAAAAATGCCTACAAAGAGCAGCTGGCTCCTGTGCCATCATCTTATTTTTAAATTCTCTGTGCCCAAAAGGCACGTTTATTTTCTGCTCATTGGAAACAACCTGATAAACTGGTGACACATTTCACCTAAAAATCATTTTTACTGAAGTAAATTCCAAGTAAATCAAGCAGCCAGAGAATGCATACAGCTGCATGTACTGCATAAGCAATCAGGTTTCTGGAAGAACTGTGAAAACATATCACGTAAGAGGTAATCTGCTCTTTATTTTTCCACCAAAATCTCTTCGGAAACATCACTGGATGACTTTAGAAACAAAAAAAGGACAGGGGGAATGCAGAAAGAATAACTGCATGAAAAAAAAATATTCTCAAAACTAATCATAATTATGGGGAGAATAAAGCCCCTCCCTAAAAAAAGAAAAGGCTGAGAGACATGAGCTCAGGGAGGACAGCGAGGACCATGCCAACACCAGAACCTTCTGTGCATGGAAGAGCTGCACTGGTTGAACAGGAGCAAGAAACGGGCCATCAGTAGGCAACAGGTAGTGTTTGAGAAAAAACATGGTTGTGGGAAGATCCCTGTCACCCTGTGAGGAATCCCGGTACTCTCCCAACATTTCTGGGCTGCGGGTTTTTCTTCATGCCCCCAAGTTAAGCTGCCTCTGGTGGAACAGTATTTCAAAGCTCGCTGCCATAGCAAATGCTACCAAAAGCAGGGGGAGGGCTGGTGACGGATTCTTTTGCAATTGGTGTCATTCGTCACACTCTCCAAACGTATCGCCCTTGGTTTAATCAGGCAACTGTATTGCTGGGAACACTTAAGCAATAAATTTAAAGTAACTCCCTCTCGGGGCAACTGAAAACTCGGATTTGTGTAACTGGGTTTTGGTTTCATTTTTATAAATCATCCTTTCCTCTTTTTTTCTACTTCTTATTTGGAAACCTTTAGTTTTGCCTCGTAGGGCTCTGTTGCCTCACGTTAACAAGCCTATCACAACATCATCTAGGAGATGCCAATACACTATCCATGTCCCCGATTCTTAGCCCAACAGAAACTAGGAGTCTTCTAGCGTCAGGGCTTATCCAGGTGTTACAGAAAGCAGCAACTCACGGTTTTGGGTTGGCTCATGGCTGAGAGAGGGGTGGGGGGGACACACCAAAAAAAACCCCCACAACCATCATGCAAAGACCTATACAGGTCCAATCCTTCTATATGCCTCGATTCAGTAAAACTCTGCTTCGCTTACCTGAAGTTACACACGTGCTTCAGGGCTCTGGTGAACCTGGGCCAAAATAATGCTTATAAAACAACTGGGGCTTATGTTTGAAAAACCCTGAGAAGCTATGAGGGTCTAAGAGGAAAGCATTAAATATGCCCGTGAGCCTGCACTCATAGTTGGAAGCAAGAAACAGAGTCATGGGCTGACACAAGGGATCACTACTGTACAGCAGAATGGGCTTCCATTTCCAGAAAAGATAAATGCAACCCAAAAGGAGAGCTAACACAAGAAGAGTGACTGTAGCTTCACTCTCACCCCAAATAGCATCATCTCGGCTCTTCTCCTGGGGAGCAGATTCAACCCCCTCCCCTTTTACCCAGGAGGTTCTTTGGTTACACAAGTTGTACTTGTGGCTACACTCCTCAAAAAATGAAAATACACTTTCTACACCCAGTCTCATGGGACAGTTTCAATTGCTGCAAAGCGCAAAGCCCAGGTTCTGAATGCCTCTCGGTGAACACCACTATCCTACCTCAGGCCCATCCTTCTAGCTTTACCCTGCTGGTTTGGCTCGTGGCTTCATACCTTCTGCACCTTTTAACGTGAATGAAAGGGGGAAAAAAAGAACAAATTTCCATTCCCAGCAGCTCAGGAGCTAAAAGGGGTAGATTACACAAATACCCAAGAAGGGCAGTAAAAGAGAGGTTACAAACAGGTACATCGTTTAAGCTGCGCTGCTGCAGGTGAGGTTGTACATTGGTAGAACCACTGGTGACAGGAAAGACTGGATACAGCTGACCAAAATTATACACTATTACAACAACACAAACCGAATTGGTTACCTGAAGGAAGGAAATACCATTACTGAAATCAAAACAACAAGAGAAATGCATGTATTACCTGATATCAGAAAGATCACATTTGTTCCCAGCGATGGCCATTACAATGTTCTCAGGACCATGTTCTTTTAGCTCTTTCACCCATTTCTTCAAAGTATGAAATGAATCCTAAGTCAGAGAAATAACAAATAAGCTAACACCTTAGTCTCTGTTGAGGGATTTGCTTATATTCTGAAGTTAGAGGGACACAGCTTTGACAGTATTAATGCAATAATAGTTTTACAGGTCACAAGACTGGAAGATTGCTCTACCTATGTGATCTGCTTTTCAAACTTCAGGTCGTAAGACTTCCCTAAATTAATTCTTGAACTTGGACACTTACCCCTGTGGCTCCCCAAAGCAGCACTGATTGTTTGGGGTATTTTTTAAATTAATGTTTTGCGATGAAGAAACTGCCACAGCTCTTTTGAGTTTGGCTAGTAGCTAACTTCCCGCACTTTTAACGTGAGCTTCATTTGCCTAATTTCAACTTCTGCCCAGCAGATTACCGTCACTATCACATTCTCCGTAACATCCAGGACAGCTTTCACAGTCACCCCCTCTCCTGCGCATCTCTCAGTCTCTGATCTGCTAAACCTCAATTTACTCATGAAACCAAAGAGAGAGGTGACAATTCACCTGGCTTTTTCCCTCCCAAGTACAAAATTTAAACACTTTTTGATGCTACCTACCTTTTAACAGTAAATTTTCCATTTCTTTACAGCAATGACCTAACAGCATTAAAATCACTTTTGTTCCTAGAGACACTATTTATAACGCATGGCTGAAATTATCACTGAAACTCCAAGTGAGCTCCCAAATAGGTTATAAATCATTTTTTCCCCTTCAGAAATGCACTTGAGAGTTGTGTCTATATCAGCAATGGCTGTATCAGGGAAAGCACTATCGGTCATTTGGGGAAAAGCCATCCATTCTGCTTTAATGATCAGCGCTGCATAGGAAGCGTCAGAAAGCAAAATACACGCTGACCTTCCTCTCCTGTTTTCCCCTCTTTATTCTGAGAGCTGTTCCACATGAGCTTGGAGAAAGGCTAGCAAAACAAAATTCTGTTCTTACAATGCATTACAAAATCAGCTGTAAAGGTATTTAAATTGAAAGTAAGTACCAATCCAGCATGATTCACTCTTCCTCATCTTTTCTTGGCAAATTAGCGAAGGAGAACGGTACTGCTGCGCAACAGCGGCCACCGCCACCAGCCACAGATCATTACACTAACGCACCGGAGAACCAACCCAGCCCTCTCAACCTAGTAGTAAATAATTCCATTGGCAGGAAGGGAATACAACGCTAGTGAACTGTCACGACCATCCATCCATTATGCCTCCTCTAACTCAGCTTTACCAGCAGGGGTTTCCTTCAAAAGCAGTGGCAGAGGCATTCAGCCAGGACCTCTTAGCCTCCTCTGCCTGAGAAACGAGCAAGAGCAGTTTAGGATCTGAAAATACAATTTTCACTCCAAATGAATAATGTTGAGACAAAAGGTCAGAGACTGAAACCAGCAATGAGATAATAAAAGTTGAGACATAAGTCCTACAATGCAAACATGAGATTATATGCTTAGTTAAAACTTCATTAGTTTTAAAATCAGTAATATGCAAACAACTGGATTCCTGTTCAGTTGATAAAGCAGGCAGCTGCTTTTTGTAGCACAAATTCAATTCCATACAGAGAACACAGGCGGTGGGAGGGAGTATTGCAGGATATTATCCCGTCTACTTAGCCAGAGGAAATCCAAAGAAACTCTGATGAAGTGCAGTCTCCAACCTTTTCTCTAGATGAAGTTTAAACAACACAGAAGCAGGACTTTCTAGGATTAACATATAAATACTTCAGCAGTTGGCTGTGGGTTTTCACTCCAACTCCAGCCCAAGCAGAGGCGTTAACACAGGCAAAAAGCGTACAGGAGGTCTTACCTGCTTGGTGATATCATAAACGATCACGGCTGCTGCTGAAACTCGGTAGTACAATGGGGCCAAGGAATGAAACTGTTAGAACATAAACCCCCCAACCAAAAAATAAGTCATTAATGAATCAGAATTGTCACACACTTTGTTAAGTCAAAGACTTGCCACGGTGGGCTCACTGACTTTCTTTCACCCCACAGAGAACAGACCTCTTCAATGGTTGCCTGTTTCTGATTTCCCTTAAACGCCAAGAAGCAGAGCTCCCTCATCTCCTGCTGTTCTTCATCCCGCTGGATTTAGGCCATCAGTGCTTACCGGTTCAACATGACTTTTCTGTTACAGGGCAGGGACCCTGAGGACAAGTGCTGACATGAAGATCACCTAATACCTGGAGGCCTCACCTGACCACACACAGACCCCTTCCCCTGGCAAACCACAACATTTTGTGGTTGTAACAGACCGGATTCAGCTTGGGTTCGAGTTTTATTAAACACTGCAAATGACGGGGATAAAATACAATACGTCACCGAACTCTGAACGCCTGCCCTGTTTACTGATCCTCTACTGTGAGAGGTATGGTGAAAAACATGGCTTCCTGCAGTTTAAGTTACCCTTCAGCTTTTTGTTTCAAGGGAAACACCCTTTAAGAAACAAAAAAAGGCAATAAATACGTTTGTTATAACAACAGTTTGCCAATGAACAGCATGTTTTTCAAAATTTACCACGACTAAGCGGCCGATTTAGAATTTCAGCTTATAATTACACAGAAAAAGGAAGTAAAAAAAAAAAAAAAGCCTTCCCACCGATTCAACTAAACCCAGTCTTAAGCAAACCTAAAGCGACCCTTCTTGGAAAACGCATTCCGTCTCACGGCACTCGCGCCGACACGTCCCACAGTCTTAAGCAAACCTAAAGCGACCTTTCTTCGAAAACGCATTCTGTCTCACGGCACTTGTGCTGACGCGTCCCGGATTTCTACCCGCAAAGCGATCTGCAAGCACTTCACGTAACGCCGCGGCTCGTAACCGCGGGCTACTCCTAAACAAACGCGCCGTTAGGGCGGGGTTCCCACGGGC